TCACTGGGGAGGTCCCAGATGATTGGAAGTTGGCGAATCATCAAACTGATCCACACAAAGGGCTGCAAGGAGGACCTGGGAAACTACAGGCCTGTCAGCCTGACCTCATGCCTGGCAAGGTTATGGAGCAGATTATCCTAAGTGCAATCACACAACAGCTACAGGATGGACAAGGGATCAGATCCAGCCAACATGGGTTTAGGAAGGGCAGGTCCTGTCTCCTTTTATGATCAGGTGACCTACCTGGTGGATGAGGTCTGTGGATATGGTCTATCTGGACTTCAGCAAAGCCTTTGACACCGTCTCCCACAGCATACTCCTGGAAAAGCTGGCAGCCCATGGCTTGGACAGGGGCACTCTGTGCTGGGTTAGGAACGGGGTGGAGGGCTGGGCCCTGAGAGTGGTGGTGAACGGTGCTGCATCCAGCTGGCCGCCAGGCATTAGTGGTGTCCCCCAGGGATCAATGTAGTGTACCATTAGCAGATTTGCAGATGACACCAAGTTGGGGGCAGTGTTGGTCTGCTGGAAGGCAGGAGGGCTCTGCAGAGGGACCTGGACAAACTGGAGAGATGGTCTGATTCCAATGGGATGAGGTTCAACAAGGCCAAGTGCCGGGTCCTGCACTTTGGCCACAACAACCCCATGCAGCGCTACAGGCTGGGGACAGAGTGGCTGGAGAGCAGCCAGGCAGAAAGAAACCTGGGAGTTTGGATTGACAGGAATCTGAACATGAGCCAGCAGTGTGCCCAGGTGGCCAAGAAGGCCAATGGCATCCTGGCCTGGATCAGGAACAGTGTGGCCAGCAGGTCCAGGGAAGTGATTCTGCCCCTGTACTCAGCGCTGATGGGGCCATACCTGGAGTGCTGTGTCCAGTTCTGGGCCCCTCCGTTCAGGAAGGATATTGAGGTACTGGAGCAGGTCCAGAGAAGAGCACCAAGGCTGGTGAAGGGACTTGAGCACAAGTCCTATGAGGAGAGGCTGAAGGAGCTGGGGTTGTTTAGCCTGGAGAAGAAGAGGCTCAGGGGAGACCTCATCACTCTCTACAACTCCCTGAAAGGAGGTTGTAGCCAGGTGGGGGTTGCCTTCTCCCGGGCAACCAGCAGTAGGACAAGAGGGCACAGTCTTAAGCTCTGCCAGGGGAGGTTTAGGTTGGGAATTAGGAGAGTAATCAGACATTGGAATGGGCTGCCCGTTCACCATCCCTGGAGGTTTTTAAGATGAGACTGGATGTGGCACTTAGTGCCATGGTCTAGTAACTATGGAGGTGTTGGATCAAGGGTTGGAGTTGATGCTCTCTGAAGTCTTTTCCAACCTGGTTGATTCTATTTATCTGTGTTATTGCTTAAATGTATTTTTCATTAGTTAATATTGGTGAAATAATCAGTGCGATTGTTCCTTCTTACAGTTTCAGTTTTAGTGAACAAGCTGCTTGTTTAACTTGTGCAAACATGTTGAAGGTATTGAATTTTAAGGCAGAAACACTGTCTGGAAAGGGAACACTGACAAAGTCATTCAAAAGGGAAAAGAAGAATAATTTATAAAAGGAACTGTAGCTAATGATGCCATCCACTTGCTTTAAAGTTCTTCTACCTCACCTTTAATGAATTAGATTTGTCAACAGCATATATTTTATGCACTACTTCTAATGAAGTGGCATACCGGCACTACAGTGTACTTTGAGGATTATTCCATCAAAGCTTTTTGCTGTCGTAAAGTAGACCTTTTTAAATAATAGATACTAAAAACTACATTTAAATAGCATTAAGGTTGTGACACAAACACCAAATGACAAACTTCAGGCAATTCAAAGTTAGGGCTGACAACTTGTCATTACCTTGCACTGTCATTTTTTAAAAAATAAGCACAATTGCATGATTTAAGGATTGAATGTCAGACTAACTTTAAATTTCTTGCCTTTTGTGGGCTGGAGTTACAACCTTACTGTCATTTTTTATACAGGTTTTTTTTGTATTCTGTTTTCAGAAAAATAATAAAAGCAGTGGAAACAGTACATGCTTTATTGGCTTTGTTTTTAATTTTAAACACAGATGAGAGAGTATTGGTTAAAGAGCAGGGGCTATCTTGTTATCAAACCTACATGTGTAAGTATGTACATGTTCTTTTAAAATTCCTTTGCTTTTTTCTTTGCTGATACTTCTATGGAACTTATGAGTTACAGGAACCTTAGTCCTGGGTTATTTAGCTAAACCCTCAGAAAGTACTAAGAGTTCCCAATTCTTTTCCATGTTGTTACGACCCACCCCAGGAAAAGGGGAGGGGAGGTAACTCAGGTTTTTATCAATAATTCCCTTGGGGTGGATTAAAGTGAAACGACACTAAATAATCGGTGTCTGAAAACATATATTGGTAAGGTTTATTTTAGACATATATAGATAGGGTTCATTTTAACAATTTTGTTTCAACAGGTATGTTAGCATTTTGGGTGTTGTCATCTATATAATTTATAGCAATATGGCATAGGGATAACTTCGGGGGGGAAAATGCATAAGGGAGAGAAAGGAAAGACAGGGTAAGGATAAGGGAGAGTAAGGGAAAGAAAATATGAGGGTGGAAAGATGCATATAGTCACCGCCCACGGGGTCCAGCGATGACACCTGGCAGTTGCCGCTTCCATGTCCGTCAGCTGAAGTGGTGACCTTGATCCGCTGGGGGTGAAGGAGGGAAGCCCCCACACTCCAAGAAGTTATGAGTTATTATATCCATGGTCAGTGTCACGGGCCATGTCTCCAGCCTCCAACCTCTCTCTGGGCCTGCACAGAACTTCTGAGTCTGGCCTGTTTCCCACCTTTCAAGATTGATTTCTCATTTTGTTGCTGTTAAACGTAATGGAACTTTCTGTTCAGGTAAGTTAGCATGTGCGTGTAAACACAATCCTCTCAGTCCCTCTCTAGAGATGGTTTCTCAAGGTCTGTAAGTCTAGTGAAGGCAATCCATTATTTTTATCATGGTTTTGTCAACTTCTTCTGGCATAGACTGGCACTGCTGCCAAGTGGTCAGGCCTGCACCAGTCACTCACTTCAGTCACCTGCCCCATGCCACCGTCAGTGCTTATACAGCTGCCTGGTAAATAGGGATTAATAGTCTTCCACAGGCCAAGTGGCTGCTACAGAAGGTTGGTAGGATTCTGTAGAAAAAGGGTCAGAAAATGTGGCCTCTCTTTCAAGTAGTCTGAATCTCTTCTTAGTACAGTCAATCAATTTCTCTTAATTTCTTTTTATGGTGTTGCCATTAATGCATAATAACACAAAACCCTAACTTTAATAAAAATTTGTGATCATTCAAAGAAGAATTGGTTTAGTGAGCTGTATCATCCACTAGTACAGATAAAGAAGTGGATTGTTTGAAATAAGAATAGTAGTCTCCATAATGTTTTTAATTCTTAAGATGCCATTTGACTGGGAACATGTAAGTTATGTCAGGTAATGCAGCTATAGGGAGTAATGAGGAATACAGTTCGCTTTGTTCTTTTCCTGTAATAAGCTTATCTCTGGTGCACACTGCGATGGAGAAAGAAAGTGGAAAAATCATTCCAGTCTGCCTTGGTACTAAAAATCAAAGGATTCATTCAATGCCATTACATGATACCCCCTTGCAAAGCTATTGACTTTTGATTCATTATTTGGAAGAAACTTAAAGTTTCTGAGTAATTTTTAGCTCCAAAGATTAGCATAACAGTGTTGTGATATTACTTCTTACCTAGAAAAAATATGTTGTTTCAATAAATGCTTCACCCCTTTTGTATCCTTGAACACTTTCTTCCTTATTCAGAATATGTACCTTTAACTACTTTTCTCATTGGATATTTTGTTTGTGCTTGTAACATCCTCAAAACTGTTTCATGGAGGTGTACTAGTGAAAGGAATCTTGGCTCAGGAATCTTGTTGGCTGGGTCACAAAAAACATAATTTATCTTACAGATTAATAGAACAGAATTGAAACTCTAAGGTTCACTGTTGGGCTCTTATATAAAAATAATTTCCTTCTGAAGGATATTCATACTTCTGAAGGGTACTCTGCTAGAGTTATTACTATACTCAGTTTTAGGCAGTTAAACCAAAAAATATATAGATTAAAACTTAAAAATTTGATTGTAATATACATTTCCAACTTGAGTATTACATGGCTTATTAATTTTGTATTTTTTAAGAACAGTTGTAAAATTCTTTGAAATTAATATAAGGGAAAAGAAATTTGCTAAAATATTAATGTGACCCTAGGAAAAAAAATTTTACTCCTTTAGTTTGTGATGTTCCCGTCTCTTTCTAGAAACTTGAAATGTAGTCTTCCTTCAAAACAACCGAAAATTGATCTTTAGTTTTCAGCCAGGTTTTGTTCTGAAGTAATAGGAAAGTAGTGCACGTTGTTTACACTGTAGTTGCACTTTGTGGCTGGTTGCACAACTCATTTAAGTCTTGTAATTATGTAAGAAATAATACAGTGCATGGTGTTCACTTATAAGATATTTATGAACACTTGCTCTCTTAATCGTGAAACCAAAGGCTAAGTGCTTTCTGCACCAGAGAATTTAATATAAATTTTACAGCAGTCATTTAAGGTAGGCAGGAGGAACTCCTTTCTGCATCACAAATCAGCTGATTGTCTTTCCTTCTTGCACGGTAATTTATGACCTGGTCTTGTTCCAAAGAATGATTTCTTTTCCCCTGTGTGAATGCATTAAGTAATGATTCATTCTCTCACCTTTTTACACTCTTGCCTTTATCATGTTTTGAAATAGTATTCTTGATACAGCATCTTCCCAGAAGAGACAGCTGAATGTATTAAAGCTGAGTATTCTTGCATAGTACCCACGTGGCATTTTCATGGCATATATAGATCAATAGTATAGAGGTAAACAAACTTAGCCATGAATACAGGATGTTTCTTTTGTGAGCTGACAGCTGCAGGACTCTTAGTTGCCCTATGATAAGGCTGGAGTGTGAAAGTATAGTTTAAGATGTCTTTGAGAAGAAGGAAGTTCCTTTCACAGTAACTATTCCTTTATTTTACTTTCTTTCTTCTTCAACAGCAATGGAAAGGTATTGTGGATAAGTATTCTTTAAAATTGCTTCTTGGTTATGCTTTTTTTTTACTTTTGTAGCATTGTAGTTGAGATGACTTGCACTTCCTGCCAAGAAATAAAGATATAAAATCTTAAAAGTTATCAGGTAAGACAAAACTGGGTATAAATATAGAGAGGGTGCTCTGGGAATATAAAGGCTACCTCTGAGAAACTAGATAAAAAAATCATTTATATATGAATTCTGAATTAGTAAGAAGGTCCTGTCTTAAGATTTATTTTTTTTATCTTCCATGATAGTTACAGAACTCCAAACCAGTTAGACACAAGATTTAGTTTTGCAGTTATTTTGGTTACCATTAACTAGATGTGGTGCAGACCTACTTTCATATCAATCAGTATATTTGTACTTTAATATACTGTTCTACAGATGCCTTTCCTATCTCCTATTTCTGTTCTGTTTGGTACTGCTTAAACCTGAAATGGTATATAACCTGTGCTTTTTTTAATGCATAAAGGTAGCTGTAGCAGTTATGAGTTCTGCTCTGAATACAAACTGATAGTTAACTAGAAGTCAAGACATAGTCAAGACTAAACACTGCACTTAAAGAGGCTTAAATCAATGTCCTTTTAATTAAAACTGACAATACCATTGGTCTGTGTGTTACTTACATTTTTTTTTCTCCTTTAAGTGATCTTTTGATCAGATACTTTTTTTTAGAATAAAAGAACATACAGATCTGATCTGATGCAGACCTGTGGTAGAATCAATATTCTGCTGAGTATCAAGATTGTTCTTTGACTAGCCATACTAAAGGAGAAGAATACGGTAAGCTCTTAAAACTCTTACTCTTCACTAGGAAGGAAAACAGATATAAAAGGCAAGCAGGAAGATATCTGGCCATGAAGATGAGTGAGTGATCATGAAGAGCCAATTGTCAGCCCAAACTGTTAAAAGAGCACTAAAAGGCTGCTGTATTAGTAGCAAGTATAGTTCTCTTGCTGTGGAACTCTAAACACAATCTGTGCATATACCTCTGCATTTTGTTGTGATTTTATAGATTCATCAAAGGTTGTTTTGGTATATGCTGACTAGTTACCTAAGAATCTTTTGAACTGGTTTTGGTTAGTCTTGAATTAAACCCATGCATGAGACAGTAATTTGACGTATTTAAGCAAATGTTTCCCATGAGGCTTCTGATGGGAAGCATCTTGGTTATTCTGTTTTCTTTTTTCATAGCTAGTAACACTTCACAACCTGATTGCAAACCTGATTTAAGTCAAAATACTAAGAAGCATTAGTATTTCAGATGATTAGAGATTGGTATGTCTATGTGAAGAAAATATTTTATAATAAAATGTAATATGCTCTGATTAATCATGTAAACCTCAAATAGAATGCTAATTATACAAGCATCTCATCAGAGAAATCACTTACTTTTATACTGCTATTTGTGAAGCAAAGAATTATGTTCTTGAGCTTACTTTAAAGACAAGCCAACAGAGAGAAAAATGATTACAGATCACATCCTTCTGCAGAACTTATTTGCCTTGAACATGTTTCCTGTTGTCTCATGCTAACTTTGCTGATGTTGTTGAATATAAAGATATCCTTCTTGAAATTCTGATTTATATTACATTGTTAGCAACAGCCATTTGGTCAGTCTTAGAAATGTAAAATGATCTTGAAACATCCAATGAGATCTACTAAATTAAAATATTTGTATAATAGTTTTCTTAATTCAGTTAGCTGATGACATGCAATTGTGATCTTTTACAAGCAAGTTTTTTTTTACTTGAAACTGCTGGCTTCTTTAAACATGACAGTTGTTGGTGAGCTAATCCTGTGAGTCAATCTACACTAAACAAGAAGCTTATCTCAAACCCTTGGCAGCTTCAGTGAAAATTCAAAAGCATACTTTACAGAAGAGATTGTCAAGAGTGGAACTAATATTTGTCCAGTTGGACAGCTTGCTTTTGTAGTCACTAAATGAAAGTTGAGATTCTGTCTCTTCCTTGAAAGCATCTGTGTCAAGAAAATAATTTGGACTGTTTGTGGTTTGACAGGGATTATTAAAATCAGATGAAGTGAAGGGAAGGAAGTGTAAGAAAGCAAAATTGACAGTGACGCTCTCTATTACTTGCAGCTTGGATCATGATGACTATATTGATATGATAGGTTCTAAATGTTAGGTTCACTGTGGGGATGTGTTAAGCAGCAAATACAGTAAAGTGCAGTTATAGATGATTTTTCTGACTTAATAGAAAGCTATCAGGCATTTATTTTCATTGGGAAATTTGGGAGGAGAAGTGTAGAAGAAAATGAAATATCAGAGCGGGCAAACAGAAGGAAAAAGGGAGTGGTTCAGAAAGAATTTATTTTCTCCTTTGTGATTTGATTTATCTCTCTTTTTATTTTTTTTTTTTAGTTCATACAGCTTGCTAGTATACTTCAGAGAGAATAAAACTGAGGATTAAGAACTGATGGAACAGGTCATAAAATTTCTTTTTGCATTGACTTGAATTTGGTAGGAATTTTTTAGCATTAATAGTTTTGCTTAAAATGAGCTGAAGTCTTAGATTGCTGTTTCACATCAATTTTTCATGACTTGCATCTAGCATGCTATTTTTAAATAGTGATCTTTACTGCCACTTCAAGATAAATAATTTAAAAACTCAAATTATTGCAATATTCATATAGCTGAATTTTTAATTGCTGAAGATACATTAACTGCCAACTGTATGCATCTTTTGGTGTCTAATGAATATACAATGTATTATTTAATTTTAGTCCTTTGTTTAATCTCTTAGTTGTATAGGTAAACTTTCAATTCTGAATAGGCAAGTTAATGCAGAAGTAAGACATCTGATTAGTGAAGTTCGAAGAGTGCTGTCATTTCTGTGTAGTTTCCTTTTTTGTTTTCCAGTATGGAATCTTTGCAAAAAATTGTATTTTGGGACAGTTTTTAGTGTAGAGTAGATTTTTAGTGTAGTGTAGATTTTATAGGAAATTAGGGAACTCAAAGGAAAAGAGGTGACACATGAAAGCCTTTGCTGTTATTTAGCATAGCCATAGCTTCATATCTTTCAAACAATGTCATGCAACATTTGAACAGTTAAGCCATGCCAGCATCTCATCTTCACCTATATTCACATTAGAGAGAAGCATATTAGCATCCATAGTGATTCATCTAGCAGAACAAAAGGATTAAGGGGAGCAGAATGACTGAGAGAAAAGAGGTTACATAGAGTTGGAGACTTGCAAAATAAAGACTGTCATGAGAAGAGATGGTGGTGTTGAAAACCCAGTGGGGACAGTGGTAAAGGAGGGGCTCTGGTAGCAGAGCACACAGAACTTGAGATGTGACAGGAGGGTGCCAGACTGTGATGTAGGCTGGATGAGGAAATGGGAAACACAGACAACCACGCTAAAATAAGAGAGGATTGAAAATGTTTGTAAGGGACAATCTTAGAGAGAGGTACATATTGTCTACATACCTTCACATTTACTTCTATATCCATGTCATCGCATGTTAACCTACCTGCTTGATCTAGGAAAGCCAGCAGATGTCATCTTTTTGGACTTCAGCAAAGCTTTTCATACTGTCTCTCACAGTATCCTTCTGGGCAAAATGTCCGGTATACAACTGGATAACCGTGTTATGCAGTGGGTGAGCAACTGGCTCACAGATTGGTCACAAAGAGTTACGGTGACATCAGGCTGGCAAACGGTTGCTAGTGGGGTTCCACAGGCCTCCATCTTAGGCCCTGTCCTCTTCAACATCTTAATTAATGACTTGAACGCAAAATTCAAAGGAATACTAAGGAAATTTGCTGATGACACTAAATTGGGAGGAGCTGTTGACTCTCTTGTGGACAGGGAGGGCCTGCAGAGAGACCTTGACAAATTAGAGAGATAGGCAATCACCAACCATATGAAGTTCAACACAGACAAGTTCCAGATCCTGCGCCTGGGATGGGGGAACCCTGCGTATGCATACATACTGGAAAGTGAGAGGCTGGAGAGCAGCCCCATGGAAAGGGAGCTGGGGGCCCTGGCAAGTTGAATATGAGTCAGCAGTGCCCTGGCAGCCAGGAGGGCCAACTGTGTCCTGGGGGACATCAGGCACAGCATCACCAGCAGGTCGAGGGAGGGGATTGTCCTGCTCTGCTCTGCTCTGCACTGGTGCAGCCTCACTGTGAATATTGTGGCAGTTTTGGGCACCGCAGTATAAGAAAGACATAAAGCTATTAGTGAGTGTCCAGAGGAGGGCTACAAAGATGGTGGAAGGTCAGGAGGGGAAGCCGTCTGAGGAATGGCTGAGGTCACTTGGTCTGTTCAGCCTGGAGGAGACTGAAGGGAGACCTCATGGTAGTCTACAGCTTCCTCACAAGGGGAAGTGAAGGGACAGGCACTGGTCTCTTCTCTCTGGAGACCAGAGAAAGGACTCAAGGAAATGGCATGAAGTGGAGGTTTAGTGGTTTAGTTTAGATACTAGGAAAAAGCTAGAGGGTGGTTTAGCACTGGAACAGACTCTCTGTGGAAGTGGTCACAGCAGCAAGCCTGACAGAGTTCCAGAAGTGTTTGGGCAATGCCCTCAGGCACATGGTGTGATTCTTGCAGTGTCCTGTGCAGGACAGGAGTTTGACTCGATGGTCCTGATGCGTCCCTTCCAACTCAGAATATTTATAATTCTATGATTCAGTGGTGGTATTCTTTAGATGCTTTGTGTTCACAAGTACTTTGAAGTGCATAAATAAACAATTATCCCAAATTATAGTATTCTTAAGTGGAAGAGCATTTAAAATTCAGCTTACAGTTGGTATTAACTTACTCTAGGCTAATTAGGGTTATGGGAGACCTGCCTTTCCTGAATATGCAGATTTTACCATGTTACTCAGCCAAATGCCTGTAATTTTGAAAATATCCCTATTCTTTTGGAATCCACCTCTTGTTTCCTGGTGTCTAGTATACATCAAAGGGGAGATTAGTTGAATCAAGCTACATTTTCTACTGTCTGTTGTCTGTGGAATGAATCTTAAGGGCAAGGAGAGGGAAATAATAAACTCAAAAGCTACCATTTCAGTATTTGCAGTGTTTTCAAGTATAAAAAGTAAGATAATTGTTTAGAGGATCAGAACACACCAGATCAGAGGAGATGCTCCTGGCAACAGTGAATATGAATTATTTTGTAAACTTCCAGAGTCAATGTCAGATTCCTCATTGCTTGTCCACGTTAGCATGTAATAGTTGTACTGTTTTATTCGTAATATAAACAATGGAAATGCATTTCACAATTCATACAATGTAGTATTTTTACTGCAAGTGTAATACACATTTACATTTTGGCATAAGGTAGTCTGTGAAGATGTAATTTAATATTTCAGTTCCTATTGAGATGTGTAATTCAGCTTACATTCCTTTCATTGTATAATTAATTTTTAGAGCAGAGCTTTCAGTTGTGGTGAAGGTGTGTTTTTATAATTTTTTCTTTAAAGAATTTAATGTACACCAGTATTTGTAATTAGCAGAAGTTCTCTTCCCACTTCTTCCTCCCTGCAAAGATTAATTCATACAAATGTAAGGGAAAGGACTTGGAATCTTTTACTGAGAAATGGAGATGAGGATACCAAAGGCTTCTGGTGGGCCTCTACGGAGGCCATGGTCAGCAGAATCTACTCCACACAGTGATTAAACACTTGTTGATTTCTAAGGGATACTCTCCCCTTTACATTTCTGTCAGTGTTTTGTGTAAAGGGATGATTTGTTTTGGTAGTATGTAGTGGCTTTTGTTCCTAGAACCACTGGAGTTAGAAACTAGTGCTATATTTTGGTAAAATATTAGTCTCCCGCCTTTTTCTGATACTAGCTGTTAATAGCTTGTTGGAATAGTAAAATAATGTAAGCAGAAGAAAAATTGTAAAGTGAGGACATTATACTAAATAAGCATTTTCAGTAGTTTTAAAACTTACTGGTAGGATGTCAAAGTGAAGTAAATTTCCACATTTCAGAAGTCAAGTAAGTGAAATGAAGCTGAATAAAAAGTACATGAAAAACAACAGCATTTTGTATTTTTCTCTATCAAATGTTACTCTCCCATCATAATTATTTTTATACCATAGAGGATTATCTTCTTATTTATCTAGCAGGGACTCCTATATCTGTTACAAGGGTTTTGAGAAAATACTGAGATCTCTTAGTAGTTTTGAACTGTGAATTTTTTAACACTGAGAAGCTCTTGAAATTAGTACTTGAAGAAAGGGATTCTGTTACTAAATTATGTTCGCCTTCAGTAGCACGAATAACATCCAGATTCACTAGTTATATCTTTTTAACAAGTTAAATGAGAGAGAATTAGAGTTATTTTCTGGCACCTATTCTGGTATCCGTTATAATGATGCCAGCCTGATGACTTACTTGTATATTAAGAAGGGGTCTGAAGTTACAGCCTGGAACTATGGGTGATTGAAGTTACATCTGAGAAATAAATGATAAAAAATTTAGTCAAAATCAACAATAGAATTTGTGAGAAAAGACAATGAATATGTGATATTAAGAAATACAGTTACTTCAAATGAGGATGTGCACATCAGTCAAGGTGAGGCACAGCAGTTCATGTGACAGTTCATGTAAGCAGGGCATGTAAGAAGGCACAGTCACCTTCCCAGCTCCTGAGGCAAGCTCCCCTAGTAGTTTTTGCTCACCTAGCTAGAGAAGCCCAAAAATGGATTCCACGTAGTTGAAAGGTGTTGCTAGAAGGAAAGTGGTGACCCAGATGGAGCTCCCTCAGAAGCATGTAGCTGTCCAGGTCTCCAGCTGCAGGGAGTGTTTGAACTTGGCCTGTTTGTCTGTGACCAGGTGGATGATCTGCTCAGCCTGGTGGCAGAGCTTGAAGAGGAAGTGGAGAGGCTGAGGAGTATAAGGGAGCATGAGAGAGAAATATGCTGGTGGAGTCACACGCTTCCATCCCTGAGAGAAATGCTGCAGGTGGAAGCTTGGCAAGAGTCAGAGGAAACCTGATGCTCTCTCCATTAGGCAGAAGGAGGGGAATGGAAGCAAGTCCCTAGTGAGGGCAGCAGGATAATCTGGTCCCAGCCTCACTTGCCTTTCCAAGTTGCACTTATGGAATAGGTATGAGGCTCTGAAACTTGAGAGGCGGGCAAATGATAGTGAAGTTGAAGGTCTAGAAGGTCTACCCTGGGGGTTGCCCAGAGCAAGTCAGTCAACCAGATGCATTACAACTCAGCTGTTAAGAAGGAAAGAAGGGTAGTTGTTGTAGGTGACTCCCTTCTGAGAGGAACTGAGGGCCTATATGCTGACTGGACCCATCCCACAGAGAATTTTGCTGTCTCCCTGGGGTTCAGGTAAGAAATATTACTGGAAGACTCCCAGGACTTATTCAGCCCTCTGGTTATTACCCACTTTGGGTTGTCCAGGTCAGCAGGAAGAGATTGAGAAGTCCTAGGACAATTAAAAGGACTTTAGGACACTGGTGACTGGTTGAAGAGACAGGAGCTCAGATGGTGTTTTCCTCAATCCTTTTGGTAGCAGGGAAGAATGTTGAAAGGAACAGGAGAACCCACCTGAATCAACATATGGCTTAAAGACTAGTGCCATCAGTGGAATTTTGGCTTTTTTGGTCATGGGGCAGTTTATACAGCACCCAGCTCGCTAGAGGCAGATGGTGTTGACCTGTCTAAAAGGGGGGAAAGGATTCTAGCCCATGAGTTGTCAGGGTTGATTGAGAGGGCTTTAAACTAGGTTTGAAGGGGGAAGGGGATAAGACCGGGCTCACTGGACATGAGCCTGGAGGCAGTATGCCACTGTTGGGGGTGAAATCAACAGCCCGGCTGAAGTGCATCTATACCAATGCACACAACAGGAGTAACAAACAGAAGGAGATGGAAGCCATTGTGCAGCAGGAAAGCTATGCCATAGTGACCATCACAGAAACAAGGTGAAATGACTGCATAACTGGAGTACAACGGATGGTCAGGAGCTCTTCAGAAGGGACAAGCGAGGAAGGAGAGGCGGTGAGGGGGCTCTCTACATTAAGGGAGTGTTTTGACTGTATAGAGCTCAAGGATAGTGATGATAAGGTTGAGTGCCTGCGGGTAAGAATCAGGGGGAAGGCTAACAAGGCATTCTGGTGGGACTGTTACAGACCACCCAACCAGGTTGAACAGGCATATGAAGTATTCTAAAAGCAACTGGCTGATGTTTCATGACTTCCAGACCTTGTTCTTGTGGGAAATTTTAGCCTGCTGGATGTCTACTGGAAACTCAGCGCGGAGAGGAGGCAGTCTAGGAGGTTCCTGGAGCGTGTGGAAGATAACACAGTGGTAAGAGAGCCCCCTGGGGTAGTGCTCTGCTAGACCTGCTGTTTATGAAGAGAGATGTGGTGGTCAGAAGCCATCTTGGGCATAGCAATCACAAAATTATAGAGTTTTTGACTCTTGATGAAGTAAGGCAAAGCCTCTATCTTGAACTTCTGGAGGGCAGACTTTGGCCTGTTCAGGACACTGGTTTGGAGAGTCCCTTGGGGTACAGTCCTTAATAACAAAGAGATCCAGGAAGGCTGGAAAGACAGAAATCTTAAAGGTGCAGGAGCAGGCCATCCCTGTGTGCTAAAAATCAAGCCACTGGGGAAGAAGATTGGCCTGGCTGAACAGGGAGATTTTGCTGGAACTCGGGGGGTGGGGAAAGAGTTTATGACATTTGGAAGAAGGGGCAGGCAACCCAGGAAGAGTACAAGGATGTCATTAGGTCATGTAAAGAGAAGGAGAGGGAAAAGCTCAGCTAGAACACAATCTGGCAACTGCTGTGAGAGATAATA